ATATATATATATATATATATATATATATATATATATATATATATATATATTATTTCACGGAGTAAAGCCTAATTATTTTCCGTTCGAACTATTATCCTTAATTCAACTCTTTCGCTCGTAGTCCAATCCTAGGTAAAGAGATTCGGTTTTCTGATTTACAATAGTATTACTCGGCGTATATCACAACCAGCATAAAGAGACCCTTCTGGTCTCTGACCTATACCGCGTATATTTAAATAAATACAGTACTCGCAAGCACGAGCAGTTTCGCTTATCCGTCGCGAGCATATCCGTTATGTAACATAAGCTTATACCTGGATTTTATAACTGGATCAGCAGTAATTAAACACGACCGTTGTTAGATAATATAAATGTTCTAGTTGTATACCAGAATATTTCATTATATTAGCTGCACAAATGAATAATCATAAATGAATAATAATAAAATTTTCAGCTAAATTCAACGTTTATATTCTAAAAAAAGTAAAACAAAATTTTAAATAAAAATATTCGCCGTTAATTAACTTTAAGCCACCTTTCGGGTAGCTTAATGGATTGAATCTCAGAAAAATGTTGTGTCTATGAAGACGTTGAAGCCATTTGCACCCCCTAATTGGAAAATGTATATCGGACAAGGCTTGTTGCATCGACTGGAACAAGTTGTAATCGGAAGAAGCTATGTCTAAGTAAATACACCGGATGCTGCAAGATGTCCTAGCCAAGATTCATTATGGTATCTTTTGTCTTAGAAGCAATGTGTGGCTTGACGTTGTCATGTAGCAATTTCACAGAACGTTCTCCCTTGCCAGTATACGGACGCTTTCGTTCCAATTCCTGACTCAAGCAGATTAATTGGTGTTAGTAACAGTCTGCAGTAACTGTTTCATCCGGTTTCAACAGCTTATAATAAATCACGCCCTTGATATCCTACCGAATGCAGAACAGAACCTTCTCTCCGAAGCATTTAGGTTTTGCGACCGATGTTGATAGTTTCCCGAGATTTACCAATAACTTTTTGCGTTTCAGATTGTTATGGAGTATCTATTTTTCAATGCCCGTAACAGTTTCTCACAAAGAACTTTCTACGCTGCTTATAGAAGAGAAAGACACATTGCCACTTGCTGATTTTTGTTGATGTCAGTAAGTTTATATAGAATCCATTTTATTTATTTTTGTATCTTTCCTGTTGTATCTTTCGTGAAAGCATTTAGAAATAGGTCGCTGCATTACTTCTAGCTGCTCTATAAACTTTTGTTTATAAGCTCTATAAGCTATAAGCTCTTTTTGCATTTGTATTAAATTTTGAACATATAGTTGTTCTAAATTATCGTTGTTTCTGAGAGCCTTCAGAACGTTGTTTGTTGATCAGACAGTGTCAGATATGCACTTTATCCATTTTTGACACTACTAACTGAATATTTCTTAAGATTATGTTGGGTTTTCCGCCAAACTAAATGTTATTTTGAATAGCTATGTATCAACATTACATAACCGCAAAAGAACAAGGAAATTAATTGATTTTAAAATTACTTTTAATTTTAAAATTACTTTTTAACTATTTTAAAAAATTTAGATTATTCATTTGTATACTTAACAATAACCAAAAATTCTATTTAAATTCAATACAATTTTATTTAATAAACATGTTATGTTAACTGAATATAGTTTTTTCTATATAGTACACGATACAAATCAATGTCAGAAGTTTGCAATCTATTTAAACAAAACACTAAAGATCTTAATAAAATTAAATTAAATAGAACAGTTTTCTTTTATACTAAATAATGAAACTGATAATTATTTCGTATAAGGGCTATAATCATTTTAAGATATGTTGTTAAGGACATCATCTTGAATAACCTTCGGATGGTTTTAGTCGGCGCTCATTGTTTACTAAAAAAATATTAATAAAGGGAATTTAGGTAAAAATACTGAATATGGGACCCAGCTCCTATGATCTTGACTTTATCATATGTTATCAAGGATATTTCCTTAAAAGACATTAAAAAAGTTTTAGGCGTTGTTCATTGTTTACTAAAAAGTTACTAACAAAAGTAGTTTTATAAATGGAAATGTATTGAAATATGATAAACTGTACACCTGTATATGTGCAACCTATCCTTTACATTTTTATACACTAGAACTATACATGCGCCATATAGCTAATAAAAAACAATAAAAATGTAAAATAAAAATTAAATAAAAATTAAATTAAATTAAAATATACTTTAATTAATTAATAATTATAGGAAGAAACAAAGAGAGACAGGGAGAGATAGGGAGAGGCAGGGAGAGACAGGGAGAGGCAGGGAGAGACAGGGAGAGACAGGGAGAGACGGGGAGAGATAGGGAGAGGCAGGGAGAGACAGAAGAAGCAGGGAGAGACAGGGAAAGACAGGGAAAGACAGGGAAAGACAGGGAAAGACATGGAGAGACAGGGAGAGACAGGAGAGGCAGGGAGAGACAGAGAGAGACAGGGAGAGATAGTAAGAGATAGGGAGAGACAGGGAGAGATAGGAGAGACAGGGAGAGACAGAGAGAGACAAAGAGAGACAGTAAGAGATAGAGAGAGACAGGGAGAGACAGGGAGAGACAGGGAGAGGCAGGGAGAGACAGGGAGAGACATATCTCTTCTGTATTTTTTTCCGTGACCAAGGTCACCTAACCAAGGTCGATGACAGTTATTTGCCTGATAATTTGACAGGCGCAAACGACACGAAGCAAGCCGCAGCCCACATGAAGTGAGCTAAGCAAGAGAACCAATCAAAAAATATCGCAAACAGTTTTGTGGCTTTTCATTGACAAATTATGTATAAAAATGTACAAGGTATAAGGTATAAGATAAAATCTATAAATGTAAAAGGATAGGTTGCGCATATACGTGTACGTTTTACCATATTTCAATATATGGGTTAGATTAGGCTTAGTTTTATGAAAAATAACCCCTCGGGATAATGTAATGCGAAACGACTTTTAATGCGAGTTTTCCTTACAAGCGCGGTATAAAGCGCGTCAGATAAAATCCGTCACGTTTATCGCATTTCTACGAGGAATTTTTGCGCGTTACGTAATGATATTTATTCCTAGCGTGTTTTTATACCGTTGTTCCGTATAGTTTCTTTTGTCGTGCATACGTACAATCACTCTGCCGTCTCGAAATATAAATATCCTTTTCCCCGTTACATTCTCGTAGTACGGAGTGCGTACAATTGTACACTAAATAGCGCATTCGTGTCTCCTCTGTAAAATGGTAATACAGAGGTAGCATGGATTTCGAAGCGACGTTTAATACTGCGCTTTCGCATAATTTGTAATACGGATTTGCGGAGCAAAGTCGACGGGGGATGTAAGAGAGGCAGGGGAGAGATGCACCATTCGCTTGCTCGCTCGTTCATTCGAGTCATCGTCTGTTCTCGGCAAGTCGACGTATTAAAATTGCGTAATGCCCAACGAAGCTTTTCAGACTTTTCATGAATATAAACTCCTGCCGGAGAGACGGCATGCGCGTCTCGACAATCCCCCCTCCTATGAATATTCAAATTGTGACGACTAACGTCTATCGCTCGTTCGTACTTTCGCGAAATTTCGCGACCTGCGAAGAAGAGAAAGC